TCATGGTCAATGACTGTACTGATTGCGTTCATGGTCAATGACTGTACTGATTGCGTTCATGATCAGTGATTGTTCTGATTGATCTATATCATTTACCAGCCAAAGGCTGCCGCCGTTGTTGTTTCTGACCGATTATATTCGCGTGCATCAAACGTATGTACGGCGGAGCGTATTACGTGTGTTAGTAATATGTTATTAGAATTTTTCGTATCAAAGTACAGGACTGAAATATTCCAGTAAACAATAGTAATAGCAATCATGGCTGTGGAATTTAAATCATTAGCTGTCAAATTAGCTGTGTGTTACTTAGATGTATAACCTTCAGTTTTGGATTGGATATTAAAATATTGAAACGAATTTAATGCATTAATTGTTGACAGATGCTTCTCAATGGTCGTCGTTTAACCTTATAAATCAGCCAGGCTGGGTTTTGGTGTACCAAGGCGCTGGCGTTACTCCATTGGCGGCAAATTCATTGCTTTTTGAACTCTATGTTTAACCTCTTATTGATATATTCACTATTCAACCAACGAAAATCTACAGGATTTAATACCTAAAATCTGTACCTATATAAAATATCAATAATGTTTGATATACTAATTGAGATCAATAAAGTATAAAACTGAGTCCAGAATTTCAATGAAAGTCTAATGCATGGAGTTACGCCTATAGGGGCTGTCAAGAGGAAGAGTTATCAGTGCTTTTACTTAGAATGTGTTAAGAATAACAGAGCTGTGTCTTGTGCAGATAGATTCGCTGTATTGTCCGCACACCAAGCCGGTAATTGTCGTGTGCCTTCAATAATGATACTAATCGATGCGAGAAATACATTGTATTGTGTGTGTTGCTGTGGGTGAATAAAGACAGTTGTGTGATGTGTTACTCGAAACATACAGAGTTCCTCTGTATTTTGCAGGGTCAAGCTACACGACTTCTTGTGCTGGAGACTCACAACATAAAAATGAAGTTTTATTGAGTGTCAACCGTGTTACATTTTCTTTGTTACTAATAATTATACTATGTTGAAGACTTCTATTCTTGTCTCACGTAATACCTTTCACTTGGTTTGCAGTGCACTCGTTTGTCTTATTACTGCACTTCTTCTTTATCTATGTTCTATCTTTGCATGTTGTTTATATAACCTGCATGAACTTGCATGCGAGTTAGTAATATTATGTGCATGCTCTCTTACAAAAGTTAATTGATTCTTCGCATGTTCAACATGATGCGATGTACGTCACTTATGAACCCGTTAATCACGGTAGAAGATTTGAATGCTTCATTGAAGCTTATTAATGAATTTACTTGAAAAATGTTATGTTCTCGTCCGTTAATTTTCATATGTTGAAGACTTCTATTCTTGTCTCACGTAATACCTTCTGTTGGTTTGCAGTGCACTTGTTGGCCTTATTATTGCACTTCTTCTTTATCTATGTTCTATCTTTGCATGTTGTTTATATAACCTGCATGAATATTATGTGCATGCTCTCTTACAAAAGTTGATTTGATTATTTGCATGTTCAACATGAGACGATGTACGTCACTTATGAACCCGTCAACACGGTAGAAGATTTGAATGCTTCCTTGAAACTTATTAATGTATTCACTTGAAAAATGTTATGTTCTCGTCCGTTAATTTTCATCCGTAAGAACAATCATGCGTAATGCCGCTTTCATGGCGAATAATCGTAGGTGTTCGCCATGTGCCTTACCTGATCTTTTGATCCTAATCGTGTCTCACTCCCCTGGTACATTATATCCTTAAGTAAATTGTGGTTATTGAACCCCGTATATTATTATAAAGTCATGTTACGCAACGTTGTTTGGAATTTCAGAAAGGAATTGAATGTGTTTGAGTTATTTGTCTTTGCTCGATCGTGTTGCTTGCTCCGCTCTTCTCAATTCAAAACACGGACGCGTTGCGTGTTTCCGGAGTTGTAAAGATTATCTATATCAAAATTGCAAGAACCGTCAACCCGTTTGACAGTTCAGTAACGAATTGTCCTGTAGAAAGATGTGGGGATTGTTAATGTATACTATTGGTGTGTAGGACACTATGTTTCTTGCTTAGCAAGTGAAGAAGACTTCACTTACCTGGATGGAAGGGTGCCAGTTTTTATTGCGCTATCTGTATACTATTGGTTTGTAGACACTATGCTTCTTGTAGCAAGTGAAGACTTCATACCGTATCCAACATTAATCTCTACATTCTACACCAGAGAATTCAGAACAATCTTCATTATTGAGAGTAATTGCACAAATAGAAGACTACTCACCATCACTACTGGCAGCGACACTAACTTAACCACTCACCGTCACTACACAAGTTGACAACAGATCACTCTCACAAGTATCAGCGTCACTCACGTCACGAATATCAGCTTAACGAATATCAGCGTCATTTACGTCTCTTCTAAGTTACTGACGTCACTACTATCAGTGTCACTATATAACGTCACTATTCACCATCACCGTGCAGCTGGAAAGCATCTTCAGCACAGCGCGACGTGAGCGCCTCCAGCGGTCCGACACTCCGGCTGCCAGTGCCGGTACGTCATGTCCGCTGAATGTTCATAAAACGGATTTTTTCTCTGTTTATATAATTTTTTATTTTGATGTAGTTATGGTAGTATTTTAATATTAACATTAGTAGTATTTATTATTAGTGTCATTGGTCTCTATTGTTATTTTTTTTGTATTCTGAAGGTCCAGTCAGGTGTTTTGTTATTCATTCTTACGTTTCAAAATTCCGAAATCTTCGTGGTGATCCAGTTTTACTGGCACATTGAATTCTCTGTGAGTTTATGGACAAGACGGCAAGGAAAACGCAGATTTTTTTTAATAGATTCGTTCTATAGTACAGCTACGGTATTGCCGGAACGCGCGCTGTTACAGCTGCAGGTTTTCCGGCGTTTTCCCTTGCATGAAGTTCACTTATTAAGTAACGTTTGCGGTCATTATTAATTCCCAGTGAAAATTTACACACGCGGCAGCTTCTGATTTGGATTATACCAGAAGCTGGGGCGACTCTAAATTTTGTTAGGGTTAAGACTTTTTGTTGGTCGCAGGAGCGGAGTCTGAAGTGCTGGATGATTCTCTGCAGAAGAAGCATCAGGTGGACACGACGCTGCTAGTCCACTTCTTCGGCCAGAAGGGCAAGCAAGACCTCAAGTTTGAGGACTTCAAAATGTCAGTGAAGTGACCTGCTTTGCTAGGAAATATCCTTTGTGACCAGACTTCTGATCACGTCTCTGTCATGAATTGAAGTCACTATATTTGTTAATGATTCAATTTGACGAAGGTTCTGTTAAATTCACGTTACGTATTTATTGCAACAGTTTAATATTGGTATTACATTGCAACTCACGAAATGTGCACTAAAAAGATATGTATTGAGATGTAATTGAAATAGAGCCATACATAATTTTTTGTTTAATTTAACTGCTTTTGTTTCCACAATCTCATCCTTTACCCATTTTGAACGTTCATAATATAAATTCTTCGAATTTTATACCGGTTCTTGCTTTTTCTTACTCTTCATTCTGACTATGAGCTTGATATTTCTTATGACAGGTTCATGGAGAACCTGCAGACGGAGGTGCTTGAGATTGAGTTCAACGAGTTCTCCAAGGGGCTGCCCACCATCTCCGAGCTGGACTTCGCTAAGATCTTGCTCCGCTACACGCATCTTCAGGCCGACCAGTGCGTAGCGGGCCCGTCTATTCCATCTAGTTTTTTTAATTGTTTTGAAATTTGTGTCTGTTCCATCTAGTATACTTTTATTTAATTATTTTGAAAATTGTAACCACTCCTACGACAGCAGAGGAACGAGAAACTAGTAAGACTCTGTCAGCATTAATCGCTGCTGTCAATTTTAATAAGCGAGTGAAGTTATGTCTTTTATTTAATATTGAAAACTGGAAACATTTTTTACTAATTGTAAATTAATTTTTTACTGGAAAGTAATTTTTTTGCTGGAAAGTAATTTTTTTAAGTATTGTGTTAGTTTGTTTAGAAAGATTTTTTCTCTCTAAGAAGCAGACGCTTCTTTCTCAGGCTCTCAAGCAGACGCTTCGGCCTGAGGTTCTTTCTAGGCCTGGTTGTTGCTGATTATTTCGAGGCTGAAGCGCTAGTGAACTTTCAAGCAGCTTTAGTAGTACCTACCTACTATTCATGTTATAGTTTTTGGCCTTGCTGTTTATTTCTCAATACTTTTTGTTTGGTATTTATTAACCGACGCATTACTGATGACGCTGAAAGTTTCGCTTCATCTTACTTCCATGTTTTGCTTATCTCACCAGATAAGTAACGGAGCTGTCCGAAGAAAAACGAATATTATAAAAGCACATTGAAATCAAAGTGACAGAAAATTCTTGAGAATAAATATTTGATTGCAGGTACGAGATGTACCTGGAGCGTCTCATCGACAAGCTGTCGGAAGAGAAGGGCATCAGCTTCTCAGAGTTCAAGTCGTTCTGTCAGTTCCTGAACACCTTGGATGACTTCGGCATCGCCATGAGGATGTACACGCTTGCTGAGCAGCCCATATCTAAGGGTTAGTTTACTGCAGACTTAAGGGCCATGTGTTTGATGTACAAACTCTAGAACACTAGTGCTAGGCACACCACTACAGCTGTAGCTCACTAGTGCTAGGCGCACCACTACAGCTGTAGCTCACTAGTGCTAGACACTAGTGCTAGGCACACCACTACAGCTGTAGCTCACTAGTGCTAGGCACACCACTACAGCTGTAGCCCACTAGCACACCACTACAGGTGTAGCAGACTAGCACACCGTTATTTCTATAGCCCACCAAGACCCAGCACAGCCCACTGACCGTGTGACTTGCTGTGCAGACGAGTTCCACCGCGCTGTGCAGATCTGTACAGGACACAGCCTGAGCGAGCACATCGTCAGCACGGTGTACAACATCTTTGACGACGACGGCGACGGCGCGCTCAGCTACAAGGAGTTCATCGCCATCATGAAGGACAGGCTGCATCGCGGCTTCAAGGTACTCTCTGTCATTTAGGCTTGCTCAGATGACATGTTTTGAATTCAGAAGAAGTCATGACTTATCTTCTCTCAAGCACGCTATTTCAAAGACAGAATTAAGTAGAATTTGTGATTAACTGTCCTGGCGGTCTCAAATTTGATATAATTCACGATTTTTTAATGGACCAAATATATGATTGATAAAAAAGATTGCTTACCTAATGAGGTTGCAAAATATGGAGCCGATACACGCATCTGCAGACAAGGAGCGCTGTTGGCCACGGATGTGTTGCTTATTATGCCAATGCTCTTAATGTTTTATCATATCACTGAATCAGAAGCGTTACTTCTACTGGCCCTCATTTCAGATCTCATATCTGCGTGCGCAAAGTTTTTGAATTTCTGAGAATTTCAGAATTCAATTCTTCTCTTTTTTTATGTCATTATATTATGATACGGTTTGCTTTATTGAAATTTGGTGAAGTGGTTTCTTAAGGATGGTAAAATATTTTCCTGTGGAAATATAACAACGTTTTAAGCGCCATCACTTTCATGAATCTCTTAGGCTCTTAAACTACTAACTCTTGGCAGCACTGTTATTACTGCACTCTCCTCCAAATGCTGATTTCCACTTTGAACAGTTGAGGCAAAATTATAAGTTAGGACATATTGAATATAACTTGTATCGTATTTTGGCAGAGGCGAAAGTAGAAGTTAGGACTCGCAAAATGTAACTTGTATTGCTTGGCAGCAGAGAGGGAAGTATAAGTTAGGACCTGCAGAATGGAACTTGTATTGTACTACAGTGGAGGGGGAAGTATAAGTATGTGCCAATGAAACTTGTATTGTTCAGACAGTGGATGGAATATTATAATTGGCCCTCAAATATTGTACATATGCTGGCGTTGTGAATGATGAGGTGAATTATTTGGTCGCTGCAGCACAACTTGCGGAGCGAAGGCTGGGAGGCCTTCAGACACTGCGTCAAAGCTGAGATGAAGTCAGTCATTTAATTCTGACTGCCGCAGGTGTAGTAAATTGTCGTAGCTAGCGGCTAGTGAAGTCTCGTGACTAGTATGTAGTAGTGAACTTTGCTTTAATTGTGCATCGCTTACGCCTTTTTTGTTTGTGACAGGTAACGCTGTTTCGCTAATCGAAAGTGACAGCACTTTATTATTTTTTGTTGGCCACAATCATTAATTTGTGATTTTACTTTTTCATAATTTTACCCGATTTTTTTCGTAGTGTGGTTGTCTCTAACCTTTGATTTGTGATTCAACTGTCGTTTATCTTGGGTTATCGAAATTGCTACTTTTTTGTGGACAGACAGTTTAATTTGTTGATACTTTTTTTTTGTGGCAGACAGTTAAATTTTGCCGTGACCATGTTCATTGATTTTTAGGCTGTTTGAACCTTGTTCCAAACCTTACTAGCTGTAGTAAGACTTAACTCATATGGTGGTTAGTAGAACAAACCTTAACAAGAAGTTTGATTGCTGCAAGAAACGTCAACGTTGTTATTTGCATTATACTTCGATTACGGCAACTCTACTTACTTTTGTTGGCGTAACCATCCTCAAAATATTTATACAATATTTTATTTTGTCACATCTCCATTTATTATATACCCCATGCTATGATCTTATCATTGATACGGTTGATTTCGCAGTGATTTTTCTGGTAACTCATGGTAACTTAGTTGCCCACAATCCTTGATTTTATTTGAATTGATCACCATTTCATTTGACTGTAATACATGCATTTTAGAATATTTTTTTTTGGTAGTTGCAATCTCACCGCAATTTATGTCCGCAACTTGTGACGCTACACAGCAAACTGCATCAGAATAAAATGATGTGTTGAACCGCTGATTAAGTTGCACTAAGGCGGGCTTTTGTTCAACTCTTTCTTCGTTGCGTGCAACAAAATCTGGAATATTTTTTCTCAACATTTTTGTTCTAAAAATTCCTGACAGTTTTCACACACTATAGATCGCTAAACACTTCTTGAAGTTTATATTGTAAATAAATAAATATGTATATATTTACGGTACAAACTTCACGGGTACCTACACGGTATACAGAGTTTTTTGTACAAACGCTTGATATTTACATCTTAAATTAATGATGAAAACGAAAGAAGCTTCATAATGAAAGCGACTGTGAGCCACCAGAGAACGTCTTCTGATGATATCCCCGACCTCAATTAACTCCTATCTTCCTTCATCATTTGACTTACACGGACCCCAAATAGAAACCTAAAATATCTCAATCATAAATTTACTTGCAAAGTAGCAATAGTTTAACATCATGACTGCAATATGATACTTCATTTAGACAGAAATATGCAGGCAACTGCGATATATGTTGAACTTTTGATGTGTTATATTCTATTTGAAACATTCTTGTCAATAATAAACATTTGATCGTAATATTTAGCTCACATTTTACACAACTTATGCGTTTTCCCACTGCAAATAAGCTTTCTGTCACTCCTCATTTTTCCACTCGTTTAAAAGTCTGCTATGAAGCTTTTTTCTTAGCTGACGCTTCCTACTCCCCCGCTTGATATCTCGTGAAATTAATATCTATAATAATAATCCCCCTGACTGTGCAATGTAACCCCCTGACTGTGCAATGTAACCCCCTGACTGTGCAATGTAACCCCCTGACTGTGCAATGTAACCCTCTGACTGTGCAATGTAACCCCCTGACTGTAGAGATAATTAATAAGTAATGAATATTAATTAATTGATATACTGTTGTTAATTAATACCAGCCTATCTCTGTGACTGCATCATCAAAACTATAGTGACACTGTGCATGCATTATTAATATTTTTTTATTCAACTTTGAAATCCATATTGATGACGTCCTCCTTACTCACACAGTCATAGACCTATACTGGGTCTATATATAACCCACTTATCATTAGGTTGTTGCTCTCAAACTTACTTCAAAAACATTGAAACTTAGCTTGTTTTTTTTTTCTCGCTTACAAAATAACCGCCCTGTGCTGTCCATTCTTCTCGCTTGAATTAATTTTCTAAATAAATATGTAGTTTGTGAATGGGTTCCTTCAATATTTTGTTATTCTCCTATAACATCTACATTGGTCTTTTTAACATGTTAATATTAGTGCAATTTAATAAATATCTTAAGAATATCTCCCTCTTAAATATCTCCGTATTCTCGTCTCTTTAACTCCATTCTGATATATAGCATTTAAAACCATACAACTATTCGACTTCATGTAATGAACGTGTCCACTAAGTTCCTATTGTCCGCATATTGTTACAAGACAACGTGCTTATAAGCCTTCCAACGTGACATTGAACGTATTTCATGGTTGTTTACTGACTGTTATTTGTTTGGTTAAAAATAATGCCAGCTTTATTGAGGACATCTTTTGAGTTTAATCTCTCAAGCTTTCTGATAAGAGGTACAGTTATTTCTATGTATATTTTCGTGTGCAGGGAGACGAAGTAAAAACATCGGGCTTGATTGCCTTCAAGAACTGCCTCGTGAGAACCCTTCGATCGTAACTACAGCTCCTGGCCTGAAGATATTCCCTTCCTTGCCCTGAAGATATTCCCTTCCTTGCCCTGAAGATATTCCCTTCCCTGCCTTGAAGATATTCGGGGGAAGATATTCCCTTTCCTTCCTCGAAGATATTCGGGGGAAGATATTCCCTTTCCTTCCTCGAAGATATTCGGGGGAAGATATTCCCTTTCCTGCCCGGCAGACATTTCCTTAACCACGTTGTTCATCTCTCATTGAATATCACTATTTTAAGTGGTATATATTTAATGTTTTATGCGTTTATGGGGTTATGAATTCAAAGACCGAGATGTTTGCTATGCAGCGATTTACTGTATTACCGGTACATTTTTAGATTGTGATGCAATACAAGTGCATAATCAAGCCGGTGCTAATACGTCGGTTGAGTTGATGCTCACAAATGTGCGCATTGTAATTGGCCTCACTATATATTACTCGCCGAGACGACGTTGTCTCTGTAATAAGAATGTCTTATTGTTCAATCATTGATGAAAATTATTCCTAAACTTTGTGGTCATTACTGAAAGAAATGGATAATTATATTGAACTCTATCTACTGATGTCGGATTGTCTCTCTTTTCATCCATCTTCGGCTTTTCGTGATCGCATGGTTCTCGTAAACAGTTGTTAGCCAAATATTGCTGCTGCATGTCTTTTGTCGTCACATTTCTTGATTTGCATTCAAGAGTCGAATGCCCGGATTCCTCCTATCATTCTCCCGCGAACACGTTTTTGAACGCTGCCCCTCTCTCTCTCTCATGGACAATTTTCATATTCAGCGCGCCCCGAAATCGCAAGTCATACTTTCACACCAAAAACTACAATGACCAAAGCAGCCGCAGAATAGTTTTTACACGCTCGTATCTCTTTCAATTAAGTACTTAGATTAACTACATCTGCCGCCTCATTTTTAATCAATTAAAAGCCGTGAGCCAACACGGCCGCTTTGCTTTTCTTGAGCCGTACTATTGCAACTTGCTATAAGTAAGGCCTAAGTACACAATGAGGCCGATTTCTGGTCTGCGATTGGAGGGTTTAGCTTGAAAAGCAGTCAGTGATTGGCTGAAGTAGTATTGAACTCTTGAATATTTCTATAGTACAGCTCGTGGTCAAGTGTTGAGTTGTTTAAACTTGTCGCAGTTATCAAATCTACCGACGATAGTTGCATGCATGTTTAATCAATGACCGTAAATTCGACGACGGGTGCAAGATTGTTAGTTTGACAATGATAAGGTGGTCGGGTATTGCTCGGCTGGATTTGACAAGATAATAGTTAGTAAGAGTAAATATTTGTTTCGAATATTTTTTTTGAGTGATGCGTTATAAACGCAAATGATTTGTATTATATTACACATTTTTAATTTGTTTATCTTGTTTAAAATACCAAATTAGGTAATCTTTTTTGTTCGGTAATATTTTTTGATTATCGATATTTAATTGTCATTAGTTTTAATTGTGTTTATATTCTTTGATTTATTGTGATTTTTTGTGGTGCTGCAAGCTATTCACTTGCTACGTAGAAGAGACTAGGAACATTAATGCATAATGTTGACCGACCATTTTGCTTTCTACTTTATGATCTTATATAACCTCCATATGATCTCCGTAGAATTTCCTCTTCAAACTTATTATACTGGTACAAGATGTCGTTAGAATATCTTGAAATGTCATTCATAAATAAAAAAACTTTGTAGAATTGTTCCCTTTTACAGCTCAGATCGAGCATCTTGTAACATTTCAGGCTATTAGAGCGATCCTTCCCTTTGCATAATTCGGTGCTTGCATATTGTAGGTGTTCAAGTTTACGTAGAGGATTCTTGTTGGTTTCATTTGCGTAGCCTAAAACATTCTAGTCATGTATTATAGATCATTTTTGTCTCATGAGTGTGGGCTCTGCCAGTATATATAGCCTAGCTTAGGCCAACCCAAACTCCAATTGATAGTACGACCAACCATGACATTCATTGTCTGTGAACTGTTACTTTTTTCTGTCATTGATACTTTTCAGTCTTATCAATCGCTAGATATGAATATCACTGTAGTGAATTGATATAATCATAGTAACTTTTTATGTTATTGTATAATTAGCAAGCGTACTTGGTGATATACATTTTTATTATTTTCTACGTGGCCGTCGAAATATTGACAGCAACATTATTTGCTTAAACATTATAACGTTTAAAAATCCGTTAGTTGGTTGATCAAAAATGTGCCATTAGTTCATTAAAGTCACAACTTGTCACTAAATTAGTTAAATGCGTAGTTTCATGCAACACGTTTATTATTTCTGTAAACATGTCGCTTGCACCCAAGTTTGTTGTTGTCATGTGTGCATTTTGATTCAATATTATGATGCTGAATAATTTTTAATTCATTATCCTTTCAGAGATTTCATACTCGGAACTCGCATGCTCATGCTGATTCCCGTTTTTTAGAAGTGTATTTTTCTGGTGTTTATCATATAGGTTGTCCCCTAATATTGTTGAAATGATTCGATATTCTCAGGGGTTCCCTAAAGTTTAATTCAGTACCTGATTGGAGGCCAAATTTTTAGAAGGCTTCATTCATCGTTAAGTTGCCTATGTACCGTATGAAAAAGTTAATATTTCCCTCGTGAGCCGCAGAATAGTTACATAATGCAATCGTACTGCTCACATGGTAGCTCTATCGATTTCATCTATCTTATCAAACATGTTCGCAGTTCATTAAGTTGGAAAAGTGAATCAGTTCTTAAAGTTCATCCTAAGGGGATTGTTTCTGAGCGCCTCACCGCTGAGTTCGCGGTATCTGACAGCAGATCTCAGTTGTGGGTTAAGTTATTATGTAGGTAGGATTACTTCCATTTCCCATCTCTGCCTCTCTCGTGTGGGCGGCCGACGTCCCGTGTAAGCGACCTCTTGTTCGAGTGTCTTAGTTTCTGTTGCTTTTCACCTGTCCCTCCTTGTCACTTCGTCTCTTGGAGTTGCTAACGCTGCTTCTTTTGAGTCAGCTTCAGCGGGCTGGACAATTGAGACCTTCCGCGCCTTGTGGGTGATGAACAATATTTTATTTAAACAACTTTTGATAATTGAGACCTTCCACCTCTTTGGTGATGTTGATCTTGACTCCCGGTGCGAGAGAGCTAAATAGTCGAAGCGCTAGTAAACATGTGGCCACTAAACTAACTAGGTAACTAACTCAAGGCCCATTCTCTGCTGCCGTGGCAGCTACTGCGCGTCTGCGACGCTTCGCTAACCATTGTACAGTTCTTTAGACTCTTTATGATGACGTTAGCTATCCGAAAAAATTACTTATCACAGATCTACATTCTAAAATTTAAATTCCTGTAGGGGTGTCGTTGAAATTTCTGTTGAAAACCCCCCGAGAATACGTTCAGAGCGTGTCATTTTGTTGCACAGACTATTGCATGCCCACGGTAGAATGACCCAGTGCAGCTTCACGCCACAGCTGCTCCGGAGTGCTTACACAGCACAGGATGAGCGGTGTGGATGTCTAGGGTTCATTTCGCACAATACATTTCCCACATTTAATCCTTGGAATCAGTTATGCGTACGACTAATAATACTTGCTCAACATATGCAAAATCTTCTACTACTAACTGGCATTCAATTGTCGTTTACTGGTATCAAGAGAATCGTGCTCAAATTCCCACACGTTTCTAGCATCCGTTTCCTTGTATAAAAATGCATTGATTTATTAATATGAGCAAAAACAGCCTATCGCTGTCGTTTGTCTGATCGGTATGATCATTTGCATTGATGAATTNTGGCCAAGACCTAGTGTTTTTGCAGTATTTCGACACGCAAATGTATGACGTCACCATTTCAACCATCAATGAACGCATGGAACTAAAACAAAGCTTAATATAAAGGAAAAACTAGAGAAGTGACGGAATTACCTACGATGTCGGAATATACCGCGTTTACCCTACATTGATGATGGAACTAAAACAAAGCTTAATATAAAGGAAAAACTAGAGAAGTGACGGAATTACCTACGATGTCGGAATATACCGCGTTTACCCTAATAAAAAGATTGTGATTGATTACCTACATGCAATTCCAGGAAACTTCTGATTGCTGGTCCAAATTTGTCCATTTTTGCCTGCAATCTTTAGAACTTGCCTTCAAAATGATTGTTTTTTGTTTTAACTGATAATTTTTTGAAAAATTATCCCTAAATTGCAGTTATATAGTTCTACAGTAGAAAATAGAAATCCATCAGAAAAATTTTCTTTAGTTTACATAAGCAAGTTGGTGAGAACAGAGCAATAAAATTTTTAAATATATTTGTTGAAGAAGCAATACAATTTTCATGCAATAAGCAATTGCAGGCCAACAAGACTGACGTATCGGTATAAGTCATAAGTAACAAGATCAGCATCCAATTTTTTCGGGTGCAGTCACCTTGCAGGATATTCTAATATTTTAGCCCTTGATTGGTACTAGTACTGAAGTGAAAAATTTCAGAATTTAAACTTACATGAATTTAATTTGTATTGATAAGATTTCATGCTCATTAACATTTGATTCTAAAGCTATAATATTTTAGGAAAAGTTATCATAAAATACTCCTAGTAGTCTAGTACTGAAGTGAAAAATTTCAGAATTAAAACTTACATGAATTTAATTTGTATTGGTAAGATTTCATGCTCATTAACATTTGATTCTAAAGCTATAATATTTTGGGAAAAGTTATAATAAAATATTCCAGTTTCAATATCTAATCACAATCATTAAATAATACATTCAAAGATTTTCAACTTCAAAGTAGGTATAAGTTGTGGTTTCTTTTTCATTATAAATAGAATGTTTATATTAATGGCTGGCATTTGGCAACATGAATGATGTGGTAAGTTGTGTGGCATTGTTGCCACCATTTAACAAGGTGTATAAGTCCAAAGCTTGAAGTTTCACAATAAGCCTATGCTGCATTGCTGCCCACCATCTTACTGTCACTAGAGCACAAGTTGACACTTAAGTTAACACTTAAGTTGACTTAACAAATATTATGCTTAACTCACCTCATGTCAAAAAATACAGTACAATGCTGGTCCAAAATACAAATTGTGCAATTAAATCTATGAATGAAATACTCAAAAGCTGTTCATATGTTACTGGGAAGCTTATGCTTAATTTTGTGTATAAAATTAGCATTAAATAACTAAATTTGTGTAAAAACCTAATTTTTAATTATTATTGAAATTGTATCCATACATTGGTTCAAATTTTCAATATCATTTACTAGAAAATTTTATTCAAATTGATTTCCAAAATCTTAGCTATATGTATAGTACTTTATTGATATTGATTATACAGGGTGAGCCATAAGCTGCTAAACCATTTCAATTTTAAATAACTTTTTATAAATGTTATCATTAAGTGTGAAATATATCCAACATCCTGCATATGCCTTCCATTTTCTACTTAACAAATTGCAGCTCTTTTGGTTACCTCTGCCATAAGCTTTTTCAGTTTTTCTGGGCTTATTTCTCCTATTGCTCTAGTGATGTTTTCCTTTAGCTCTACCGGTATTCAAGGTTGCAGCTTGTTGGCACAATCTTGTGGTTGCTTTTGGTTAATGTGTCTCACATTGAAATGCCTGCAATGCCTTTGAGTTTGAATTATTGAGCCTTGATTTTGATAGTAAAATTTTACAATGTGTGCACATTAGGTGGTACCAAATTTCTCGGTACGTACTTAATTTTCAGGATCTGAAAAAACTGAAAATATTAAGAAAAAAAAAAAAGATGTTAAAAAATAAAAAGGGTCACTGACTTTTGGTCCACTGTGTAGTTGATAAAATCAAAGTTGCAACTGAATCTAAATCAATGCCTTAAAATAAAAGGTTCTACTAGTCACTAATGTATTTGGTATTTTAAGTTTAACATACCATATTGAGTCTTGAGGACTTGCCAAGTAGTTCTTATGCCCTTCATAAGATATTTTTGCTTATCAAATAACAAAATTTTTTGTACACTTTTGAATTGAAGAAATTTTGTTATGCTAAACCATGATCCCAAATTATTAATAGGATAAGTTATGTTTACAATATTAACTTAAGTTGAATAATGTGCATGTACCAAGATAAGTTAAACAATATATATGGCATGTGGCAAGTTGAGAAAATGTTGCAAAATTGTAATGAATGCAAAATTGCTTTACTTCTTTTCATGCAGCTGTACTGGATCTGGAGCACTGACTTTATTTTATGGGTAAGACTCGTAAAAATCAATCTCTTGTGACCAGGCCAATCAGTCTGTTGTCTTAACACAAGTAATAATCTCTATTTCTACAAATCTTCAGATGGTGCTGATGGACTTGGGCACACAAGTATCCCCTCAGAACTACATTTATAATGTTAGCTAATCCTTCAGGTTACAGTAAAATTATAATGCATGCATATGTTTTCCTAGCTATGTATTCAATTTTTATTTGTTATTTTCATAATTTTAATAATGTGAACCAAAGTTCAACAGGCCTTAGCCTTGTTGTAATTTTTTTTTTTCAATATTATGTAACTTTTTTAGATGTAAAGAAACAGTGTAAAAAACTGCTGACATGTTATTTCAATAGGAGTTACAGACTGTAGAAAAAAATAGTGTGTGCTAAAAATGAAGTTTTTGGACAATTAATCTTGAATTTATAGATGACTAACAATGATAAAATAATTCTTTTTTATATTGTTTATATCATTTGGTGTTAAGTGATTTGATCTCAAATTTCTGATTTTACATTCACTTTAGCTTTAGCATTACAAACTAGCATTCTTTCGAGCCAGCTTCAGCGGGCTGGACAATTGAGACCTTCCGCCCCTTGTGGGTGATGAACAATTTTTTATTTAAAAAACTTTTGATAATTGAGACCTTCCACCTCTATTGTGATGTTCATCTTGACTTTCGGTGCGAGATAGCTAAATAGCTGAAGCGCTAGTAAACATTTGGCCACTAAACTAACTAACTAACTAACTAGCATCTACTTGAATTCATGTATATGATAATATGAAGTTACAAATTTTTCATCATCTTGTGTGGACCAAGGCGCAGTTGGCTTTCACAAAGCTGTCATTGCACTGCCAATCAATTTACTTTCTCAATTCACCTCTGCTATTAAAACTTGCTTTACTTGATCAGTGGAACTTTATAAAAGAATTTCAAATTACTGGCGACATAGTAGGTACGGTAGTAGATATTGCAACTTAGATTATATATACCTATGCTTACAAAAGCACATGTTGCTTCATTACCAAAATCTTAAAATTGGATCAGCACTCCTAGAATAGAATAGAAGTGTTGGCACTGAAGAAATAGGCCCATGGCCTGTTGCCAATTCCTGTACTTTTTGAGACTTGATCTCACAAGGGATCCTGCCTTATGAACCCAATCTTTCCATAACTGACGAATTGATTGAGATAGCTGCTGGACTTATTGCAAGGCTTGTAAGGTGCTAGGCATTTCAAGGTTGTACATATGCTCCTGTACAGCTTTGTCTAGTCCTGAATACAACTGAATGCGCTTGGTTTCAGCTATCAAAATTTATAGCATTTTGTCACACAAGACCCTGATCAATAAATGATTGTGATCTGATATTTTTAATCATTATCATGTTATCTGAAACAACAAGAGGCTAAAATGCTTAAGAAAAATACATACAATGGCAATGTGAGAAAACTTGAACAAAAATAATTTTTTGTCTTATGTGCTTTTGTATGGTTCTGAAAAAAGGAAGACTTCATTAAGTTTTACATTATAACCTGATAACAATAGTGTGGAAACCTTTTTAGCTAAAACAATTATCCAGAACATAAGTGACTTGCATCATGTACAAACATCCATGGCTGCACTTGAGTTGTACATGCCCAAAGTACCTATGCCCAAAGTACCTGTCATGATCTCCAAAGTACCATTTTTGCAAGTGGGTTCATCTTTGGGTATGCATCAGTAGCCTTGAGGAAATTGGAGTTTGTTATTCCACAATGGAAGACATCAAAGTAAACCAATGTAAAAAAATGCCATGCAATAGGAAAACCAGCATCTCAGTATTTACTTGGTGGATGTAACTAATTATATAGGTATATTGGGCCTACTGCTATAATTAATCTTCAATGCTACTGCTGACATGCCACAATCACCTTCACTAATGGTCTATGAAATTTTTTCAATTGTCTATGTAAATTTCTTTTTGTCATGCCCAGCTTGCTATGTATGTCCTTACTAATTGGGTGCCAAGTAATTTTGTGCATTATAGCATATCTTGTGAGCTTACTTTCCATGTAATAACCCTGCTCAGTAAGTGTCATTTTTAACGAAATATTCTTTGATTTCTAGTGGGGAAGAACAAACATGGTGGGGATGGCTGCAGTCAGCAAAAGAGAAGGTTGTGTCACAGTCTTCTGAGGTACTGGAGTTTGTCAAGAATGACATTGATGAGTTTCGGAAGGTGGTTTCAGAGGAAGCATCCACAGTTGTCTCTTCAACTGCCACTGCCCTAAAAACAAAGCTCAAGGTAATAATTTTTTTGCTTAGTTGAATTATTTGTACCTAAAATATTTAAATTTATAATATTATTTTGCCTATTTAGTGTTGTACTATTGAAGATAAAATTTAATTTGTCAAAAATCCATTGTTTGCTATTTTTGTTTCTTAAAAAAATATTAATACAACTTGAACAAGTTTATTGGTCTTCATTGGTAGCTTACTTAAAAATTTCACAAGATCTTGGATTTTTATCACATCAATCTCTAATCCATCTAAATTTACCCACATAAAAAGTTGGAAAAAGTATTCCATAAATTTGTTGATGAAACTTTTAGTGGTTAGAAACTTTATTGATGATGTTTAGTGGTTAGAAACTTTATTGATGATGTTTAGTGGTTAGAAACTTTATTGAAACTTTATGAAATAAATTTATTGATGAGTCCACATTCTTGCATAATTATCAAGCTGTGACATAATTGTTGCCCCCCACAAAACCCGTTAATAGAAATAATTTTGAATTTTGTTAAAAATAATGTTGCTGGAAATCATTAAATTGATATACACGCAGCTGGATGAGGATGACAGTACTGCTGCCAACGTGAAGAAGAGCGTCAGTGGCTTCCTATCACACGTTGCGGATGTTTTCACGCCTCCTCCTAATGATGAAGACGAGGAAGCATTTGTTATTGCCAACCACCAGCCTGTGATGATCTCCAAGCTTGAGGTATCATATGGGATTAATTTGTTCTCTAATCAAGTTATGCCCAATATCTTACTGGTTGTAGAATTGTAGAGTAAGATTTGTTTTTTGTTTCATGAGTACTGATTTGGATTGTTGTTATTGTTGCAATTAGCATTGAAATGCACCTTCAAACGCACTTGATCTCCATCAGATTCTGGGAGCTTGAGAGTGATCAATGTGCACGCTAATTGTTTGATTATTGTGTTCAAACTTACAGTAGAGTGCTGGAGATTGTTGTTTGAATTCAGTCTTATTTATTGAATACCGTATGTATTGTGATTTGGGGTAAATACAGTAGAAAAGACTAGAGAATCCTGATAATTGTGAGTATAATATCCTTCAGAAAAATGGATTATGCTCATAATTACAAGTTTACTATGTTTTGAGGGTAGTTACTTGAAATGTATAATGATATATATGCTAAATGATAATTTGTACTGGAATTTTTGACTGCAATTGTTCATATTTTTCAGGCAGCGGTATATGCCTCCATTCAGGATCCAGATGTATTTTTAGAAGATCCTAAGGATGAGGCAGATTATTCTGCCTGGCTTGAATCTTTTGATTTGAAAGAAAAACAAATTGAGATTGCAGATCTACTCGTCACATGCAAGCCTCTTCATAAACATTTCTCCAACCTCGTTCCTCAACAGGTTATTTAGCTTGTATTAAAGCTCTCATTCATTTTTGAAAGCCATTAAATTATAAGAAATTTGGCTGCTGGAAAACTTCCCATATTTTCAGCTTCATTGTAATTATTTCTAACTATGGGAAAGATAAGTTGTTAGTGACAAAATTTCAACGATCATGCCAAGACTAGGTCATGCCCTCTCATATTCTATGGTCTAATACAGAGTAACTTGATGAAGAAGTGACTGACATGGCTCAATGCAATCGTGAATTTAGATGTTCAAAAATTTGCTTAAAAATTTATGTACGGATTTGTTTTTTTTTTTCAAATGTTTGTAAAATAGCTTCACAATTCCAAGGATGTTTTTCACATGCTTTGATAGGAATAAATAAATTATAATAAGTATTCTTAGTTGGTTTCTCTCAAGTTGTGCTATTTTAGTGCTTTTATAAATGATCTTGGAAATGGGCAGGTTTCTACACTCTGTAATATTTTATTACTCAATAATCTCATCAATATATCAATAATCTCATGGTTCAATAATCTCATGTATGATCAGGTTATAGACACAGTATTATTCTAATGCTTGTATAAATAATGACAAATATGCTCGTATAAATAATTAGGACAACATGGCTCAGGTCTCGCACACGCTGTTCTGGCACCGCTACTTCTACCTCGTGCATCGTCTGGAGCAGCAGCAAGAGAAGCGCCAGCAGATCACCAGTAGAGTCTCTAGCTCACCTCAGGAAGATTCCCTTCTCTGGGAGGAAGGTAACGTACTAGGCGACAATTCTGATCACTTGTTTTATTTTAGCTAGAATGAGGCTATTTTTATGACAATTTAACTCGTTGAGTAGAAAAAGTGATCCTAAGCAATTAGATCAATATTCCTACCATAGCTTGTCGTCTACCAAAACAATTATTCAACATAATTGAAAATTGTTCATCTGGCTTTTTTGGTATCATCTTTGAATGCATTTATCAATTGATTCTTATCAATTGGGTGTTGCTGGTACTATTTGAATTATGTATTTAATTTTACAATATGGCATTCAGAAACGTGATGCTCCCTTGTGTGCTTGTTATTGGTCATGAATATCTTGTGTGGTCACAAATAGTGATTTCTAAATTTGTGATGTACTTACTGCTTGAAGTCTTACTGGCAATGACCTCCTCTGTCGGGATTTAGTATAGAATAGAAGTGTCGGCATTGAAGAAATAGGCCCAAGGCGTGAGCTATGAAATGTTTAAATTCTTACCTAAAATTGATTTTTTTGGAAGGTTGAATTATTCATTCATGTGTGCTGCCATGTTCTGTCCACCTGCCTGCGTGACAAGCTCTGTGCATATTCCCGCTGCAGACGAGCCTATCGGACCTGAGGTTGACATCCCCGAAGACGTCCAGACGCAGCTACTACAGCAGTACGAGCAGGAGCTTATGACAGCCTCCACCACTGCCACTGCAACCACTGGCCCTGCAACCACTGCCCCCGTCACCACCGCCCCCACCAGAAGCGCTCCTGATGCTGATAAATCCTCGACCACTGCCGGTCCTCACACCGAGCAGCCAAAGTCCACGATCACCGAGGAGCTGTTATCCCCAACTTCCGATCCAAGTGTCCCCGCAGAGACGCCATCTCAGATAATGCGACAAGCTGCAACCAAGAAGAACAAATCAAAGAGCGCAAAGCAAAGAGGTACTAAGACAACGCCGGGTTCCAGCGCGAGCTCGTCCCCTGTTAAAAGTTTGAGCAGTAAGTTCCTATTGATGGGGAAGCCTGATAATTTCTTCAGGTATTCATCTCGCACTGAAAGTATACCTCATGAACTACGCTATTCTATCACAGCGGACATGAACACTAACTCTCCTCCTTATGATATGACTAACAAGAGCGCGGTAGCTCTCATGGAAGACGACATTGATGTTGATCTGCATGACTTGAACTGTCATCGCATTGATGGTGTCGAGCGGTCATCTCTTTCTTCAGGTAATCTTGTACCTCCTTGTGATGATGGTGCTGCTCCTGCATGGCTTATTCCTACGCCAGCCGTCTCACTAAACAACCCAGCATGATTCTCTTCAAGTCCTTCTGCCTTTAACACTAGACTGACTGCATAACTTTAATTCGTAGATAGTAACATAGTTACAGTTCTACCTATTACAGCCCAGCAAGGGATAAGTGCCTGGTTCTTTCATGTTAGATGATCGAGTGGCTCATTAATCTCTTCATTTGGTGATTATTATTTTTGCCAGCAGTTGGTGTTGATTTTTAGGAGCTGTGACTTTCAGGGATTTTGTGTGATAATTCGTGCCAGAAAATACACTACAGTCAAAACTGATGGAATAGACACTACTATCATTGATGAAGTATGAAGTATGAGAGATGTCTCGTTATGTACATACTATAGATACTCCATATTCTAGGCAAAATAATTCTATTCACACACAGGTATCTATTCTTTCATAATTGACTATTTTCTCACAAAATTAAAAATATTTTTTCGATGGTATTTGCTGGTTAGCTCCACAAAAGAGTTTCATACGATCCACATTGTGGTCTCATATACGAAGCTTATTTGTATGCTGCATTTGTTGTTTGTTTTCGAATAACAATAATTGGATATTCGCAATTTCTAGAATGTTGAGAGTCGATTTCAAAATTTTTTTCCTCATGTTGCAGTGTGTACCTAAATTCACGAATTTGAGTAACATTTAACAAATATTTGAATGACTAGCAAGCTGCTACTAAATTTAAGACTAAGGAATATGTCAGAGCTCTTAGAAGATTGACACCGGATAAATACTTTGCCTCCAAAAGTAAACAGATTGGTTCTTTAGTTGCTTTTAAGAGTTCTAAATTTGTTTTTAGGTGACATCTCTCGGTTTGATATGGTTTTACCTTTTCTGCTGCGTGGCGTTGTGGTGCAGCGCAAGTGTTGTTTTAATTTTTTTTATTCTGTGTAATATAAAAACCAGTAATTTATTATCAAGAGTTTAAAAGCAGAAAAAACTTCAAGAATATTTGTTGTAACCGTTTCAGAGAGCAGCTTCGTCGTCAGTTCAAAATACAATAACAGATTTATATTCAAAATGTCTTTTAAATTTACTCAGAGTAAAAGGACAAGTAACGTTATTACTATTCTGCTGATTATTTAAATAGGATAAGATTTGAACTAAGCTTTTTTTGACAGGGTTTTTTTATAAAAATAAACAAGGATTCCAAAATCGTCAGATCTGAAGCCTCGGGGGTGGTAGCTGAAGTGTTAAAATCGCTGCAGTTTCTTTGATTATAAATTCTTGTTCAATTTGCTATTTTGATCTACAAATTTTCTATCCTTAGATTTTTCAAAGCATGTTATCACCTTCCTGTGTATCACCTTTGACAGATTGGTAGGTAGTTTTCAAGTAAATGAAGATATCAACCTTGTAATAGGGTGACGTAAATTTTAATGATGGTCACTTCTCACATTACTATTTCTTACCTATAATACTGCATTCTATAATAATATAATAATGTAGGTATAATATTACCTTTTTACCTTTAATATTGGCAGTTATCGCCTAAAACCGTCCCATTTTGTATTGACTGATAACCATCTCGAAAATAGCTGGTCTTCATTTTATTCTGAATGTGGTGTGATATATATATTTAAAACTTCAATTAATCATAGATCTTAATAAAACTGCAGAAGGATTTAGTCCTTGTATTTCAATTCCGTCCACAAGAAAACGGAAGCGGACCCTGTTATAGCCAAAGGCACGAACCGACCTGCTGTTGCCTTACAGGATGACTATTGTGAATATATTAAAATTACTATATATTTACATAATTTTTCTATGTTGACGTAGCCGACAGCAACGAAGATGAGTGGGAGAAGGTGGAGGCGACTGACGAGAGCGACAGCGGAATGGCGTCCATCGAGGGCGGCGGGTCGCCCGCTACTGACCGGCCTGCCTCGGAGAAACCCAAGGTATATACATAGAATCTCATTCATTACGTGACCTTTAATTGAACAATTAACAACCTCGATTTTTTGTATTTTTTCTTAGATGAAATATTATATAACAAACTTCGAAATGTTATTCTAAACCTAAAAAAAGTTACATTTGGTCAAAATTTGATCAGTTGCATAGTCTTCATTCGTAGAATTTGTTGCTCTGCGCAATCTTGTTTGAGTGAAGTAATTCGTTATGACATTTAATCAGAAGTAGTATAAAATGTATAAATTTTAAATTAGAAGGTTCTTATTGTTCACTAATTTCCAGGGTGAAGATTGGGAGACATGGGAGTAATATAAATTTACCAGAAACCTGCTCAACCTAAGTTGTCTGGGACCCATACACTCGCTCTGAACGGCGCAGGAAAACCTCGCTGTTATTGCTCACTAAGGCGCACTAACTTAACAAATTCAAACCTTCCCCACGAATTGAAGGCAAGCAAGTATCGTGCAAACCTGGCTGCGCTATATAACCTTATCAAGAAACGAGGCAGAGGGCAAAAGTAAAATGGCCTTGCTGGAAGACTGGCCGATCTGTCAGTAGCTCTGCACCTACCAAACCTGGAGATTTTAATTGTATTCGTCTGATTACATTCGATACCATTTTATGAAAAATTTTACCGTTATTATCGGAGTATTTTGCTCTTCTACTCGTTCGGTGGTCAGAATGATTTCTTATGTCTGGGTGATTTTCAACATAATTGACGTTACTATATCTTCTTGTGGGTCAGTGCTCACACCATAGACTCACTCAGATTATTAATAATGTTGAGGAAAGTAAAATAAACATTTATATCAGTAATTAGTTCCGTGTGTATGCAAAGAGTACGTTAATTTGTTGGGTTTCCGTTGGGGTTACAAAACGAAAATTCATGCGGGTAAGAACAGATTTATATCTTCAACTCAGACGCTCATGAAAGCCGTCCTTGAACACAAGGATGTATTTATCAAAGCAGTTTAAGTTTAACAGTCGTTGCATCCAATTTAGATTTCAATAACACTGTAGTTAATCGATACAGGAGTACATATGCCTGCAATGATAGGCCTCTAGTGCAGGTTTTTACAGTTCTAGCAAATTTATCACTATATTTTCTATAATCTATTTCCAGGTAATACCAAACGAAAATAATCTGTAGTTATTTCTGACGATGTCTGCCGGTAATGACGCTTAAGTGGCGTTCATAAGTGGTTTATATGAGAACTACAAGGGGGCTTAGATGTCGGAACACTGTCGTCTTGTGGCCGATTGCTCCGCTGTTGCTCAGGAACATAATTGGACGCGAATGAAGTTTATCTGAATCTCGCATGATTCTGATTCCCGGAGCCTCACAAATTGCTACTTATTGTAGATTTCCTTCCGATTGAGTGAACCTTAATTTGTTGCTAAGCATGGGCAGCGTACGAAATTTGTGTCGATTGTTATTTGTTGGACCAATAAATCCTGTAATCCGCGTTATTTCTGTCATACTGCGATGAAGAATTTGTTGAGAAATTAATGGGCAATTATCTGCCAAGACGCCAAGACGAATTTCCACTTGGGCAAAGACATGATTATTGTTCTATTATACTTTTTCTTCACGTCGGTTTCAAGCATAGTGAGTCAAAACAATGTTTTAATTAATATTTATACATTATATTCATGCTTATCTCTGGCCACTCCGGCTCTCGTACCAGAGAAGTTTTTACTATTTGACTTTTAGTATCTTGCTAATTTTCATTTTACTTCCAACAAAGGCAACTAGCTTCGTATACTGGGCTTCGTCTCTACGCCATGTTTAACTTGCTCTTGCTTTCGTATTCCAAACTTGGTGCAGAACATTTTGCGGGCTTCCTAGCGTAAAGTGCTAGCAACGAACCACATTCTTTTGTGGTTTGTTGTCTCCCAGTCTATGGCTTTAATGCTCGTTTACGTCTGTCTTATAATAGAATAAATACATCATTGCCAACTCATTTTATTGTGGGAAAACCCAATTTTGCTTTCTGTAAAAAAATGATTTACCTGTATGTTTCGGAAACCATTGTTCAATAGCACAACTCGTTGCTTAGATTAACATTTATTTTTTACGTACCCGATGGCCGAAAGTTTTATTCATTCGAGCTGCTCCTTTTTTTTAGAAGCTCGTAGTGTGTTCTTATTCTATGGTATACAATTACGCTGTATTCGTACATAATTTTGAGCAATTAACTTGTATAAGAGGAATAATGCGTAGAAGCCCTCTACTTTGTCAGGTTCCTCATTCATGTTTTTTGTTAGCGAAAATAGTTGGGCAAAAAGGTAACATTGAGCAGGTTGCAGATTGTGAACGTTGGGTGAAGTATACTCTTCCTGAATTCACTCGAGTAAATTTTGGTGGAAACTCCACTCTGCTCACGATAATCATAGGCTTTCATTCGGCTGAAAATTGTTTAAGTTCAAAAAGTTTACGTACTCGGTGACTTCCTCCAACCTCACTATCAGAGAAATTACATGTGCTATCTTGCGGTCCTGTTATTCCAGCGCTAATAATTTGTTTTTAATAATTGTAAGTTTATTACGTTGTAGCGTGTTGTTTGCACATCACTACCCGCTAGCAAACTTTAATGCGACAATTGCGCCTTTATATATTCTTTTTTATTACTTTAGTATTGTGCTACACTTATTCGAATTTATCTCATAAGATCAAATTAGAGATTTCAAATCCATACCTAGTTTAATTGCTTTCTAAAGTCTTCTTTGTTATTTGTGTGTGTTTCTTGTTTTTGTTACTAATGTCTGATTTTTCAAGAACTATAGGATGACTTATTTTAGTTTGAATCTCTGCTGAGGTGGCAGTCCCGTGTAATTTGTGTAATGAATTGTCCCAGACTTCTAGCTTGGGTAAGAGATTTAAATTAGTTAAAAGATCTCTCGTCGTGAAGTTACTGCATTTTTGAGTCATGTGACTGATACCAAGTAAGCTCCAAGCAAGTTGCGACGATATCGAGGCTATAATAATTTGATTTTATTTACAATTACCGAATAGCTCAGACAGTGATCAGATGTAAATAGGCTCGATTATTCTGTGCAATATTGTAAAGTCGTAACAGTTATTGATTCAAGGTAGGGAAGTTTGAATTACTTTTTAAAGGCAGGTCTTATGAGAACTAATGATCACAGCATACTATTCTTTGATAATTAATTCATCCTTTTCCTTCAAACTCTGAACTTTAGAATGGGAAATATAGTTTTTTTCCGCCATGGTAAGCTAGTGCGCTATTCTCTCATACAATGTCTTGATAACAATTGCAATGTAACGAGGGCTTTTTCGTGATGTTGAATACGCATTTGGTTATATTGAACTCGTGTTTTCTTTTATCTTTTTTTCTATAGAACATAATTGCATATTATAACTGCATCACTACCACCATACTCCACCCCACTGCATCACACTCCACCCTACAGCATCACACTCCACCCCACAGCATCACACTCCACTCCACAGCATCACACTCCACACAATTTTAAGTAACATTCAACAAGTATATTGGCTCTATGAAAAGAGTGTAAATGTTGTGATATATGCGCAGGGAAAAGTAACATACGTTGTTATTACATTTGTACTGCGTCAATAAAATCTCAAAACAATCGCAACAGAGCAGCATTTATAGCAAGCGTCTAAAAGTAACATAATGTCGTGAATTTACGGATACGTATGAAAGGGTAGTATGATAAAAATAACCCTGTATCAATCATTGCATTTCACAATTTCAGAACACGAAAAACAAACGTCACGATTGTGTAAAAGAACATTAAACATTCCATATCTTAACTAGAACGTAATTAATTTTCAAGTAAATTTCTTCCCTATCGCTCGACACAAACAACTACATGCATGTAGAGCTTAGTGTTGGCTCATGCATAACTACTTAAATTCTAGCTGATTAGCCTGAAGGAGTATCAGTTGAAATTTAATAACTGCGTTCAATCCATCGCATCTAAAACTATCTTCATGTTCCTAGGAAGCCTCTTTCGAAGAGGGCGATCATTACAGCGGGATGTTAGCATGCTTCTTGGCAGGATTAGAGAGCTTCTTATTGGCTAGCTTGTCAAGGTCTTCACAGATGCGGCGACGCGTGCTGCTCGGCTCAATGATATCGTCAACGAAACCTGACCAATACATACATTAATTATAGGCTTACGGCGCTTCAGTTCAGTGGAACAATTAATTCATATTGAAGAGTCAATTCATAAAAAAAATGATAATCACAAGATAACCATCATTCTCAATATCATCAAGCCTAATTAATTATCAGGGAATCGCAACATAATACCCGCGAGGTTAAAATTTAATAATAAATGCAGACATGATTAGAGTACCTCTGAGAGCCGCAGGGAAGGGATTGCTGAACTTATCGATGTATTCCTGCTCGTATTTCTGGGCGTCAGCGTGGCCGCGGTAAAGAATAGACACAGCGCCCTTGGCACCCATCACCGCAATCTGGAAAAGTTTTTGTTGTGATACAGAACAACATCCCAATACTTTTATTAGTTCTTCATGTTATACAGAATAACATTCCAATAATTTTATTAGTTCTTGTTATACAGAACACCCTCCCAATACTTTTATTATTTCTCGTTTTTATATAAAATTACATCCAATACTTTTATTAGTTCTTGTTATTATAAAGAATTACATCCCAATGCTCTCGTTGGTTCTTCTGATACAGGAAAACTAGCCGATGCTCTTACATCGGTTCCTACCGTCTTACAAGAATCAATTAAATCTAGAAATTTTGTACTTGTTATCAGAAATGTGCGTATAAATTGATTCACAATACATCGAATAAAGTCACTTTATCAACACTATTGACTCTTCATGACGTATCATAAATCGTTCTGAAATAAGATCAACTTGCCTCAGCAGAGGGCCATGCATAGTTCATGTCGCCCCTCAGATGTTTAGACGACATGACATCATAAGCTCCACCGTAAGCTTTACGAGTTATGATGGTAATTTTGGGCACAGTCGCCTCGGCGTAAGCGAAGAGGAGTTTGGCGCCGTGTCGGATGATACCGCCATACTCCTGTGCAGTGCCCGGCAAGAAGCCAGGCACGTCCACGAACGTGATGATGGGGATGTTGAACGCGTCGCAAAAACGTACGAAGCGAGCGGCCTTCACTGACGCGTTGATGTCCAGGCATCCTAGATACGACACAAGTCAGGGTCCATCAGGAGAATGTTGTGGTGGTCATCGGAGAGCGAGACTTCTAGTTACGCTTTGAGCTCAGAAGTAGGTACTTATTTGAAGACGGTAACTATAGATTTGTACGATTTGTGATGCTTATATGGATAACAGATAAGTCACATTGACAATAAACTCAAGAAAAATGATCAATCAAAGCAGCTCTCCCTCTCGTATTTTTTTATATGCATCATATAAAAGCGGCTAACGAGTAATGTACTCGTTCCTTATACTATTATTATTACTAGAGCAGCGCGACTTGGTGACGTCATACGCAAACCAACAATGAGTCATAAGTAAACTTCTGAGTTACAGAGCTGTCCTAAGCCCTCCATATTTTCTAATTTTTACAAGATGGAGAAGACTTACTAAAGATTATGAATTTTGTTACTTCTACCCCAGTCAGAGTTCATTCACCGTTTTTTACGAGTTGAAATATTCTCAGTCTAGTATTGCTTCACATTTAACAGTACAACTGTATCCAAGTACTGTATTTAACAGTAATACTGTACCAAGTATTCAGCCTATGTACTGAATTTTAATTCAGTTAATCAATCGAAATTGCAAGACTATAAACGCATGGCAGACTCAAAAGCCCCCAATTCAGTGATCGGTTTAGTCTCACCTGCAGCGAACTTGGGTTGGTTGCCGACGATGCCAACTGATCTGCCGTTCATTCGCGCAAAGCCGATGATGATATTCTTGGCGAAGCTGGGCATGATCTCGAAGAACTGCCCCTCGTCGACCGTGCCCTGCACCACGTCAAGCATATTGTACGCCGCTGCCGAGTCCAGCGGGATCACCGTGTCCAGACCAGGCACTGGCCGGTCCCTGTAAGTATTTTTGGACGTTTTGAGAGGAAAACATTGGGATTTTCTACATTATTTAGCTGGTCACCGAACAACCCCCTGTAGGAAATTAAAAATTTATTATTAATGTAATCCGATTGTAAAAATAAAATTGCTTCTCGATTAAAAGGGCGGTTAAATTTACTTCTAATTCAGAAGGCATGTCAAAACTATTTTATTTTCCTCTTTACAGTCCTGAAAAAATCCATTTGATTTATTTTCCTCTTTACAGTCCTGAAAAAAATCCATTTGATTGGAGATGTAATCAAATTTACAAGGACCACGGCCGCAGCATGATTCAGATTTAGCATTAATATTGGCGGCCAAGAAAACTTTCAAATACTAACTGCGACAAATATTAAAGATACTGCTCTCGCCTGCGCAATTACTAGACTCTTCGGTAATCAGTAGCGCCTATATACGAGACCAGTAACACGTTGAATAGTTGCGGTTGGCATCAGAATGTTGTACTGGCCACTACTACTTGTAACAGTCACTAATAACGTACTGGCCGTTTATTTGCACAGCAAATACATTTTATATTACATTCAGTTCAATGGATCGTCGTTATATTTAGTTGAAAGAGCAAACAGGATACCATGGATCGTCAGCGCGGCGTACGGGCGCGGGATCTTGGTTGCTCTGAGGCAGGAAGCCGAGGAAGGACCTCAGGCTGAGCAAGGCGTCCACGTCGTTGTGGAAGGCGTTGTGAGCGACGCCTGAGATGGACGTGTGGGTCCTGGCGCCACCTAGTTCTTCCTGCAATGCATGGACAAATTCTCAGGGATTGTCGACTCTGGAGATTAATACATATTTTTATTAGAAGCCTTATTTTATACTGACACTGCCCATATGGATGATAAAAAAATCATAGATAAATTCATTAGAATACATCACTCAATAATATTGAAAACTTTTTAGTTGGAAAAAAAGCTAAAAATGAAGCATTAATCAGCGGTTACAACTAGCATTGTACGAAACTAAGTGGAAATACATAAATCTAACATTCATTGCCTAACAAACATCAAAAATTAAAAATATTCATAATAATTAACATTTATCAAGCATAAAAATAATAAAAAATTATTCATACTAATAATAAACAAATAAAAAAATGGATAAGCAAAGCAGAATCACATATACCTGCGTAACGTCTTCATTGGTGACAGTTTTGACGACATCAGGCCCCGTGACGAAGAGGTAGGAAGAATCTTGTACCATGAACGTGAAGTCGGTGAGAGCAGGGGAGTATACTGCTCCTCCAGCACACGGACCCATGATCACGCTGATCTGAACAAAATAAAAATACATTAGGATAGTTCTAGATTATTTAATGGGAGATTAACAAATTAAGTAATGTCTTTCTCCCATTGTCTGGGAGTAAGGCAATGGGACGATTTTGTATGCATTTCTCGAGACATCATGAATTCAAATTGATGCATAAAACTCTGGTTGGTCAGCAAATAATTTAAAATACTTTTCCACTTTGATAAGTAAAAAGGTTCTCTCAAAATGGGAGCTATTCCAACAAATAGAAATGTTAGATTTTTTCTTTTGAATTCAATATGAGATTTTCTAGGCATAGCTTATAGGTACTGCTTCTGATTAGAAATAATATGCATTTGAAAATTACTTTTTAAAGACATCACTTCCAAAGAACCCAGTGTCTTCGATGTTACACATGTACAATGAATTTCTAATTTTGTTTTCATATATAAAAAAATAATATAAAAAATTTTTTAATATATAAAAAAATTTAAATTCTCAAAATTATTTATTCTGTCAATTGATTCAAGCATTGTCTCCAACTTTAAGAACATGTGCAAAATTTCAGATCAATTGGACAGGTAGAAGTGTGTTAAATATCGATTATAAGATTTGTAGCAGACAAACAAACAAGAAGTAAAGTTAAAGAAAAGTGTTGTAATAATATGCATTTAAAAATTACTTTTTAAAGACAACACTTCTAAAGAGGGCAGTGTTTCCGATGTTACACATGAACAATGAATTTATTTTTTTCAAATATTAAAAAAATATTTTTCAAATTTCTTCAACATATAAAGATATTTTTTACAATTTTGTAAATTATTTATTCTGTCAATTGATTCAAGCATTGTCTCCAACTTTATGCCAGTGTGCAAAGTTTCAAATCGATGGGACAGGTAAAAGTGTGTTAAATATTGATAATAAGATTTGTAGCAGGCAAACAAACAACAAGAAGTGAAGTTAAAGAGAAGTGTTGTAAAAAGAACGCACTTGAGGTATGACGCCCGAGCTCATGACATTTCTCTGGAAGATGTCGGCATATCCTGCAAGAGATTCAACTCCCTCCTGAATGCGAGCTCCACCCGAGTCATTGAGTCCTACTAAAGGCGCACCAACGAGCAAAGCTTCATCCATGATCTGCACACCAAAACATATCAATGTTTAAATGTCAGTGACACTTGTTGTTTTTTAATACTTTGAGAGACCCTGAATAAATCTTAAAATTTTAAATAGAATTAAATGGACGAAAATAAGAAACAAACTATACTTGAATTTAATAAAACATCAATTTCTGCATATATGAAGCCATTTTATATTTTTTGCCAATGCAGGTAAACAAATTTTGGTCATCAGAAAATAATGAAAATATGGAGACAGGTTAGAACAGAGGCTGTGGTCTTGCAGCTCCTATGGCAGCAATTAGTACAGCAACATATAGCACTTAATAGCCTATACCATTATGCCTTCTAGCCCAAGGGAAGAAATACAAATTAATTGTGAAGTTTGGCATTGTTGGCCTCTCAACTTGTGCCCACTAATTAATAATAATTCTACAGTCACATAAGCTGACCTTACAAATTTTCTTTGCATGAATGGAAGAAAGAGAGCCTCCGATGACTGTAAAGTCTTGACTGAAAAGATAAGTCAGACGACCATTGATGAGGCCCCAGCCTGTCACCACGCTGTCACCAGGATACTGCAACATCAAAATAATATTGGAAATTAATAAATCTGGAATAGGATACAGAAATTTGCAAGTAACAACACAATCATTATAACATACCGTACCTACTATATTAAACATATACAAAACATCATGCGCAAAGAATACACAGAATGAGGGAAGTGAGATGGTTTTTTTATATATCCTGTTTGGAGGTAAAAACATTAAATATACTAATATTAACGGTATATTAAAGAGTGGTATAGAAAGCAAGTCTATGGGCACAGTTTGGCTAAAAGGATTAAATCATGGGTTAACAACCATTTACCTCTGACCAACCACTCCCAATATATTTAAACCACCGGCTTTAGTAATGTTTGGAAAATATTTGTTACTAAAACAAAGGACATAACCTAGAGCAAGTGTTGCAATGGAAGATGCTTCTTTGGGATATATTCATCATTCACTTTACTTGATCTATTTATGGTTTGGTTTAGGAAAGTCATTTCACCCGGTCATGTGTGATGAGCCCATTAAAAATATTTGAAAATACCAAGTGATTTGTGATGGAAGTAAACTAAAGTCAATTCAGGATATTTCATTTACATGCTATTGTCATTCAAGGCAGCCTGTTAGGAGAAAAAAAGCTTAACAAAATTCCTTATAAAATGGAAGACATTACAACAGATGTCCAAAAAGAGGTGATGTTGAATTCTGGATAAAAAAGGTGAATCAGAATCCTGCTGATAGTTTTTACAACATGGAAGATTTAATAACAATAGTTCAATTTACTTATCCCCAAATTATCAGATATTAATAAGACAAACATAAGAAGGAATTAAAATCCATTAATTCTATTTGAGTTACGTTTCATAGATATGAAGACTACCATATTCACAGTGATTACATTGCTTGCAATATGCCCTTAAGTACCTTATAGCTTTATGTTCAACAATAAAGATGAGCACCCAGGTTCTGGGAAGTATTTAAAAAATTGAAATAAATTGTACCTATATCCCAAGGTAGAATATTCTATTATGACACTCACTATATGTTAAGTCTTGGATTTTTAGTAATGAGTAGTTTCTAAACTTTACTAATGCTGGTGGTTAAAAAATATTGGGAGTGCTTTATCAACTGGGGGTAAATGGTCATTATTCCATGATTTAACCCTTATTTGAGTGTGTGGGCAATTGTTGAAGCATTATAGGTATTGTGGCTAGAATGAAATGTGCAGTAAGAAGATAATACACCTTGTCGAAATAAAATTTCACGACTGAGACATGTCATGGACAATAAAATTGACATAGTGACAGTAAGATTGCAAGTTTTTTCTGGAGAAAAAGAAAATGTTGCACACTTAGAAAAATTCCTGCCTACTAAAAATTCAGAATGAAAATTAGTACCATGCTAAATGTTTTAGTCAAATCTGCCATTTAAATAACTCCTCCATTGTTTAACTTTTTTCATCAATATTTTGTGTTGCAACCACTTTTTAAACCAGTGAATTTTTAGTGTAAAAAGACACTGATAAATGAAATGTACAAATTTTACATTTCTATTTGCCACTTTTGTCAGTGGCAATGTATAGTCAAAGTCTAGTATGTTTGTGCAAGAATGTAAGTGTTGGCATCACACTAATTGCGTGTGAATTAAGAGGAGCATATTGGTCAAAATCTATTTTCTATATTCAGGGATGGATCATCTCCAAACCTGGTACACATATGTAAAATCAAAATTCAAAAATGAAGACTATTTTGTTCTTGTGAACTTTTTGAAAAAAAAATGAAAGAAAAAGTGAAATTCATAGAAAACTGCCAAAAATGGGGTACTGTACTTTAGAAAATTTAATGCATCATACAACTTATGTGCCACAACAATGCCTGACATATCATTCGATTGGTAAAGACAATATCTAGCAATTGTCGAGCCACTTTTTCAATTTTTTTCTTGGTTCTCTTGTTATGATGATTTTTCTGAAAAATTTTGAATTTTCAAAATTTTCCCCCCAATCCCCTCTATTTTGGAATATATAATCCAAACTAAAACAAAATAAAAAAATGGCTCGACAATCGCTAGATCTTTTCATTACTAAACAAACGGTATATCTCTCATTGCTGTAGCTTCAAAAACTCTAGGAGGAGATAGGTTTGCTGTGAGAGCAGTAGGAGGTTTACAGGATAGCCGATAAACCGCAGACTGGCGGCGCGCTATGTAAAGGCATATAATGTAACTTGGATACCAAAGATAAGTGTTTTGTTCACTCGGAAGTCACTCAGCAATGCAGAGAACGACTGCATGCCACCTTCTAGCATGACAGCTTGTGGCTGACTGAGGTGCAAGGCCACAGACTGCACATTTATAGACCCTGGACAGAATTATTGTCATAGGGTTTTGTTAAGGGGCTCCACCACCCCCCACCTTTTGGGATCTGTTGTGAACGCACAAATCAACATACAGAGATGGTTTTTGTACTGATGGATAGGTCAGATTGTCAGCTTTAAGAGGAGACTAGAAACCGGAAAAGTAAAAATTCTTGCTTTTGACCAATTATAAATTAAATAAAAAATTAAAATTATAAAAATATAAACATAAAATAAAATAATAAATAAATAAAAAATTAGTAATAAATTGCATTGAAATTAAATTTTTTCTTGAATGTGTAATATGTGTCTTTGGGTAAAGCAATATTATTAATCCTATATATAGTGGAAGCATTTTTTTAGAGCACTAAATGAAAATAAGGAACCATGAAAGCTTAAATCCTGAAATTGAAGTCTATTCCCTCGCGGCTTAAAGGTATCATTAGGTCGCTTAACAAAAATGAAGTGATGAACATTGAGACCCTCCTGATCCTCAGTGCAGTGGGTTTAACTGGCCTGCATGTGGAGTGGATCAAATTAGACCTCTGGCGCATCTAAATTCTAAAGAAACCCCCAATCCTAGAATTCTATCACGGTCATGGGCAAATTCATTCCACCTCTGATTTTTTTTCAAATCAGAAGCTACCCATTAATTAGACAGTAATTCCCATGATTATGGCTAATTTAGCCCATTTTTAAGGCCCTTTTTGCCTAGAATTTCTATAGTTACAATAAAACTATGGTTTTCAACTGCAACTTTTGGAAAATTCTATCTTATATTCCAGATTGGATAACTAATGAGCAGGAATTTATTAATCTTGCAGTGGATTGTTTAGCCCAAAATTGTAATTTTATAACTTAACACTAAGATATTTCAGTTCCAATATAATATAAATCTAATGCAAGAAATGTGTTGTCTTGTGGTTTCAAACAGTCCAAGCCTAGGAGTTTCATGTAATAGGAGTCTAAGGTTTGATTGGAATTTAGTGGCTGCGTTATTTTTAATATTTTCAGTTTCCAGTTGATCAGATGAGGTTGCAAAGGACAATCTACAATTCAGTAATTTTGTTTTAGATGTAGATGTCTACTGGAATATTTGGGGTGTTAAAAATACACTCATCAAAGTTGGTTTTGTAAGAATTTTTATGAAAATTATGTTTGCTATGCATCTTGAAAATTGTGGGTGACACGGTGATGCATCTTGAACTCTTGAAGACTGTCAGCAATGCAACTTGGGAACTGTTGGTGGCATTTTTGGTCTACAAACATAAAAATTCACAACCCATTCATCAAACTCTGCACCCTGGGCAGTCTGTTTGAAGGTCTGCTTTTCAAAACTATCACAAAAAGACTTTCTAGGATTCTAGCCATCTATCAATGAGCCACTGTGCAGAGAGTGGATGAATATTGCAACTTTGCAAGATCTTTGGCGACGCTTCAGTAGCAAAATTTACGCCTTCAGAAGATCTTGCCAACACATTTTGATTGAAATTCTTGCATTTAATACATTTGTCAGTCTTTGGCCAACTATTTAGAAAAAAGTAAGGTTTCTGGTACGTTGGATGGATCAGGATGCAGTAAAGCTTGTCAAGAGATCAGTTGCGATGAGTTCCCACCAAAAAAATGTAAACAAAATCATAGTTGCGGTCACATTAGAGTGATCAGACTGCATCATTACATGTTCAGATGACACTTGCTGTACAATTGGACTGTTTTTAGGGTAAAATTAGTTATTTGGGGTAACACGTGCATGCAACCTTGTAAATAGTTTTTCATTACTCAGTGTAAATGGCTTTTCATAAAAATTGCCCAGCGACGTATCTTGAAAATGGTCGGCGACACTTTGGGCTTAAAAACCCATATATTGTCAATGCTGCTTCCACCTTCTGCACCCTGGCCAATGAGTTATCTATAATCTAGGTCCTCTTCTTTTTTGTGAGTACTATTCTATGGTCCATGAATACCTTACACTCTTACAGTGTATCCCATCATTGCCACCCAGGATTGATTGAGAGTCATGTGAAGGCAACAGAACTTACGTAACGCATACTTTTTTTTTATAGTTTTTCATTTCTCGATGCGTCCTTAAAGTGTCGGAATATACCGCGTTTACCCTAGGACTCAAAAATGAACTTGAGGGAGAGTCTAAAAAACTCTCTGCTTTGCCACTATGCGTGGTGAGGTGTATTCCGTCCGCGCTTCAAATTCTACTGATACGTAATGCCATCATCCACGTGTTCGAATTCCGTTTGCTGTGTGAGCTGTATTGGAATACAACACGGCTTTGAATTAGAACACTAATGAATATTGAACACTACTTAATTATGCTTTTAATTAACAACTATTAAGCTTTTAATTAAGCAAATTTTAATTTTTGTACAAAGCTTGGAACGATCTGTGTGTGTCCAATTCAAGTTGTGACGGAATTAGTTTTTATGTGTCTAAATCCATTTCTAAACTTAATCATCTATTAATTTATTTACCACTTGAAATCAGCAAATACAAGTATACTTAAAGGATTCCTAATATATTCACAGTCTCACAGACGTATTTAAAAGTCTCAAACCATAATATTCTTCCTATACCAACAGTTATTCACTATTTGGTAGAGCAAGGTCAACTGTCAAATTTGACACATTTTTCGATGATGTCACTGGGTAGCGTGCATTGTCTCTCTTTGGATCTCAATATTTTCCGCTAGATGGCCAAGACTTAGTGTTTTGGCAGTAGTTTGACGCACAAATGTATGACGTCACCATTTCAACCATCAACAAACGCATGGAATGAAAACAAAGCTTAATATAAAGGAAAAGCTGGAGAGGTGATGGAATTACCTACGATGTCGGAATATACCGCGTTTACCCTATAGTAGATTAGGCCTAGTAGCTATAACATTATGTGGCCATTCATGATTCTGATTCACTGTTGCATTGCTTGCCAAAATTAAGTTTTTAGCTCTTCTATTCTGGCTTTATTGTCAAATATTTGTGTTGAAAATACTTTTAGTACCTTGGCTTATCATATAAAATTTTTGCCAAGGAAAAAGTCGTAAACAAATTTCTCTTGAATATTGCAGCTCTTAAAATGTTATGAGAAGAATTTAAAATATTAAAACTCAATCTTGCAATTTTGTTAACAGTCAAAACTGGAAAAGAGCTGAAGCCACTTGTGAATGAGATCAAAATATTGATGCTTGTGGACACTGGACAAGTCAAAAATTTCACTCATTCCAATGATCCTAGACTAATTTTATCAGTAAAATTTAGGAAAACAGTATGTTTTACATGCAATTTTTGTGAATCACACTTAAAAAAATTTTTTGTATGTCTAAATTTTTAAGAAAAGTTTATCCTATATTCCCAAGTAGTTGACACTTGACAGTTAATGTCTATACAGCTCTAGGCTGTATACTTGTAAAAAAGGGCGCAACATAGGTTAAAAATGCTAATTTTTTTTTGCTTCCAGATGCTGAGGCAAGCATGGTTGCAAATCGGAGACTTTTTAGGTGACCTTTTCTAATGTACATGTCAAAACCAGTTGCAATGCATATAAATTTATGATGTACTAACTGATTCTGTCTTTGTCTAGCGCCTGACTGTAAATTATGGCTCAACATAGAGCATTTCACTTAGGTACCTTTCCTATTCTGTTATGTTCTGTGCCTATACTTTCAAAAAAAGTTAAGAGATAGTAAGTTCATCAGCCAATCATTGATGGCCTTTCAGGCAAAATGCACCAATCATAGACAAGAAAATAGAGCGTAAGTACTTACGTTCACTTAGCGAGTTATGAAAGTATGGCCCCATGACAGCATATTTCACTCTAGTGCCTGCCACTGTAGTGTCAAAGCAGAGACTTTTTTAGACTCTAAAAGTTCATTTTTGAGTCCTATAAGTAGACCAGTAAAGTATCATGGATACCAGCATTATCATACATAAGAAATTGGTTTTAAAAAAACTCTAAATCTTGAGTATAAATGAGGAAATTGAAAATGAACTGATTTTGAAAAATCTCTGGTTTGCCACTTTGTGCGGCTGGCGGGCGGGCAGGCCAGGCTGCAAGTTACGCATATCAAGCTATTCCTTGCCCAGTTACCTTCGGTAATGGATTGTGTTACCAGTATTCTCCTTTAGCCTTGCATTCCCTAAGCGCAGTTACCTAAGGTAATGGGTGGAGATTCCCAGTATTTTCCTTAAGACCCATGTTCAGACATCACAGACAACCTCATCGCTATGGGGTTCCCAGCGCAGAACCTCGAAGGAGTCTACCGCAACCACATTGACGATGTGTACAAGTTCCTTGAGGAGAAACATAAGGATTATTACATGATCTACAACCTGTGAGTTATGCTAAATTGATTTATTGAAACTCTTTTTGTCCACTTTACTTTTCTTTTTTGTATTTTCCAAAGACTAAACCTGTGAGTGATGCTAAATTGATTTTTTGAAACTTTTTGTCCACTTTACTTTTATTTTCTGTATTTCTAAAGACTAAACCTGTGAATGATGCTAAATTGATTTATTGAAACTCTTTTTGTCCACTTTACTTTTATTTTTTGTATTTTCCAAAGACTAAACCTGTGAGTGATGCTAAATTGATTTATTGAAACTCTCTTTTTGTCCACTTTACTTTTCTTTTTTGTATTTTCCAAAGACTAAACCTGTGAGAGATGCTAAATTGATTTATTGAATTTCTCTTTTTGTCCACTTTACTTTTCTTTTTTTGTATTTTCCAAAGACTACATTTGAATTGCTCTTTTGCTGTGGTAAAATATTCAAGGTCTGTTTTAGAATTTTAAAGATGAAAAACGTCTCTGTTTATGTATGCCATTGATGCTGCATGTTAAAATTGTAAATTGATCACTATAAGTTAGATGTAATTTGTAGTTATAATTGTATACTTGGTGCTTTTGTATTAAGTTTTAAATTTGTAAGTTGTTTTACTATAAGTAAAAACTTGAAAATAAAAATATACTTTGAAGTTATAAAAATATTATAAAAATATATATGTTTAAGTTATAAGTTATTAAGTTAAGTTTAAGTTATTTGTTGAAGTTATAAAAATATATTTGAAGTTATAATGTACAAATGGTGCTCTATAGTATTGAGTGTTGGCTGATTGTGAACAACATTACCAGTCAAAGGAAGTATCATGCATCTGAAGCTGTAGCATCGAACCCTGCAACAATTATCATAGCATCAGTCTATATTCTTGAAGAAATTATTCTATATACTAAAGAAATTAATACACTTAAATTATTATTCTCACACAGTTTGGCCTGGCAAATTCCCATGTTCTACATGGGAAAAGTGTGACACTATTTGATCCATATGACCCATTCATTATTAGCGCATTTTCTCATTTATGGAAAAAATGCATTATTGCGCTCGCCATGTCCGTCTGTCTGTCTGTCTGTCCGTCCGTGACCTCAAGTTTTCGTGGACGAGAAATTGCGCTCTCTGTCACTCACTGCTGTGAGTACTGAATTATATATTTTTTATTATAAGCCAACCTTCGCTCAGATACTCGTTCAGTTGTCGGTCAATCGCAGACAAATGTTTTGGAAACTATAATGATGGATAACGAAAGAAGATTTCGCGCATGCCGCGTCAGCTGATTCAAAACCTGATGCATCTGTCGCAACGTGGGGGCAGTTTTTTGTATTGCAGTTTTAAAACTTGCAGTTGATGGTGAAACGTCTGCGAGTTTTCTTTTCTGTGTGACTATATATATATATATATATATATATAAACACGCATTGTCGCGACGGACGTTTTGAATGGGTCTCTTCCAGCTGTGAAATGTGGGTTAAACTACATCGAGACTTATTTTTCGGTGTGTTTCGGTTCACTAATGAATATACACTGGTGTCTTGACCGAATGATATGAAATTTTATTCTGGTGTCTGGAAGAACTATGGGTTAGACTACATCGAGACTTATTTTTCGGAGTGTTTGTTTCGGTTCACTAATGAATATACACAGATGTCTTGACCGAATGATAAGAAATTTTCTGGTGTCAGAAAGAATTGATTGCTAATCGTGTTACAAGTCGTTAACGCAAGACTGCACATGCAATTACAAATTGGCGAAGGCTGCTTCTGCATGTCCGCGAGAAAAAAGTGCCTTTCACAGCATACCGTGTACTGGGGGTCTCTTTGACCTATAAAATGTAAAGCCTGAAAACGGAATCGTACCATAATTCACCTGCGTTTGCGATAATACTTCTTACATATTCTAAATTAAACAGACGTTACAGGAACACGCATATTCTGTGCTCACATATGTAGCCAAATTGAAAATAGGGTCGATATGCTAGATGCATTCAAGCTAGTTCGCTAGTGCGTCTGGCAGCGCCTTCAAGCGTGGCCTGGGACTGTTACGTCCCAAGCATTTAATAAAGATATCAAGATTAAAGATCAATCCGCGTCTCCGGATCTCACGGCAAAATTGAGTGATTGAATAAAATCATTTAGTAATTACCCTTATTTTTCCCTTTTCCAAAAATATTTAATAAAGATAGCAAGGTCTGTAATCCGCGTCACCGGATCTCACGGCAAAATTGAGTGATTGAATGAAATCATCTGGAAATTGTCCTTATTTTTCCCTTTTCCAAAACACAGCCAGAAAAGTTAAAATTACTATTAGTGTGCTAAAAATCTCAGCAATAACAAACGTTATGTACATTGTTATTGATATATATATGATATATTATATATTATATTATATATATAATATATATATATATAGCTAAGCTAGGTTATAGGCGTTTACTGCCGCATAAGACTTGAGAAACCAATGACTCACGCAGGGCTGTGGCTACCAGAGATCACAGCTGAACAAACAGCTGGACTGGCTGAAAATGGCTCTGAATCTAATTATTTATTCACGTTATAATTGTGTCTCTCTATTGTGTCTGTTGCTTCAGTGTTAGAAAAATTACCGTCAACGGCATTACCGGCATTTCAGTGGCCGGTCGGCACGTGAAAAGATACACCGTTTCACCGTTTTTATTCCAATTTAACACCAGAAATCCGTAAAACATCTGATAAAAATGGCGAAACAGTTTATTTTCACGGGGCTACTGGCCACTAGGATGCCGGTGGGACCGTTTTTTCACCGTTTTTTCTAACAGTGTGTTCATCTGTCCCTCCATGTCTGTTGCTGTTCACCTGTCCCTCCATTGTGTTCGTTGCTGTTCACATGCCCCTCCATTGTGTTCGTTGCTGTTCACCTGTCCCTCCATTGTGTTCGTTGCTGTTCACCTGTCCCTCCATTGTGTCTGTTGCTGTTCACCTGTCCCTCCATTGTGTCTGTTGCTGTTCACCTGTCCCTCCATTGTGTCTGTTGCTGTTCACCCGGGCCTATACTTTCAAAAAAAGTTAAGAGATCGTAAGTTCATCAGCCAATCATTGACGGCCTTTCAGGCAAAATCCACCAATCATAGACAAGAAAATAGAGCGTAAGTACTTACGTTCACTTAGCGAGTTTTAAAAGTATGGCCCCCGATCTCGTTTTAGAAGAACCCGAGGCGCATGTATACCGTGTGGCCTGATGATTGGGATTGGATCAAATAAGGGAAACGCCTGACATTCTGATATCGTAATTTTTGAACATGTTATAAACTATGTAAACGTGACATATTATAAGGTTTTATTGCTTATTGTTGCTGCTACTTGATATTTTATCCGTGCGCAATTTAGTATATTTTTGTGTGTATAACCTAATTTGTAACATATAAGTGGCAAACCTCTCTGACTTTCAAAGGGGACATATTGTCGGTGTCCGTATGGAAGGTGACAGTGCGACAGAAACTTCCCGAATGATTCCAAAGTAATAGTGATAATAAAAAGTAATAGTAATAGTACTATTACTTTTGTTTTGGAGACGTTAGAGGTAGTGTCTCCAAAGTAATGATTGCCTTTGAAAGAGAAGGAAAAATGTCCTCAGCAAAGCCCAGTTAACTTGTAACATACGTAACTCATGTGGAATTTAGGTATATAGGCTTAATTGATTATCCCGTACATACATAGTGTAGAAAATGAGCTTATCAATATATACTATATATAGTTGTAAATCCGTATCTTGAATAGCAAAATAGATATGGACAAATATTTCACGCTTTAGCTTTAATTGCTGATTAAGAAATTACTCTCATCTTACTTCGACCCCGTGTGTATTTCGCGACGTTTGTTCTAACTTGACTGGATTAAGTAGGTCGGGTATCTCATTTACTCTCTGACTGGATTAAGTAGATCGGTTATCTCATTTACTCTCTGACTGGATTAAGCAGGTCGGTTATCTCATTTACTCTCTGACTGGATTAAGTAGGTTGGTTATCTCATTTACTGACTGGATTAAGTAGGTCGGGCATCTCATTTACTCTCTGACAGGATTAAGTAGGGATCGGTTATCTCATTAACTCAAGAGGCATGTGATCTCAATGCTATCTATCTGCTGGCAGAAGCATTTTTATGAACATTTGATATTCGTTCAATTATGTAATCAATTTATGATTGGCCTCTGCAGGATCTTTTTTGTAATGTTTTTTTTATTCACTGCTTACGCATATATGTTAATGACTTAATGTTCTGATGCAGTTAGCAATGAGTTTGTTAATGTCAAATGATTGAAATAATTTGGTATACTTCATTACCGAAATTAGCTGGCCGAAATCTACATATGCGATTGATTTCTGCATCGATGTTCTTTTTCCTCAACTTTCTATTGAATTTCTTATGTAAATTTTTGGTTGAATTGTGTTAAATCAATGTATTATATTTTCTTGATATGTGGTGGTTAGGAACTTGCCTATGGGTTTATAGTGTCGGAAATTATTCATCTCTGAATGTCAAGAGAATTTTAATGCAGACAAAAATATTGATTTCAAAAGTTTTCTTTGTCGCCTACTATCGTTCTTATTCGCAATTGTTTCGTTGAAATGCTTTTTTTGTTTGAGAAACATTTCACCGCCTAGCGACAAAATGCCTGCAAATGCATCGTTTAGTTATGGAATAGATCATAGTTTAGTTATAGAATATATCATAGGTAGTTTAGTTATAGGATATATCATAGTTTTGTTATAGATCATAGTGTGCTTATAGATCATAGTTTAAGTATCGAATTGACCATAGTTCAGTTATATATCATAGTTTAATTATAGATCATGTTTGCTTATGGATCGTAGTTTGCTTATAGATCATAGTTTGCTTATATTATAGTTTGCTTATATATCATAGTTTACTTATGGATCATAGTTAACTTATAGATCGTAGTTAACTTATAGACCGTAGTTTGCTTATAGATCATAGTTTAATTATCGAATTGACCATAGTTTAGT